CCCCGAGGAATTATCTTCAATGCTATCCCCATGGCCATTTTACCAATGGGGCATGGACATTGTGGGACCATTCCCAGTCGCCGTCGGAGGGGTCAAATGGTTGTTAGTAGCAATTGACTACTTTTTCAAATGGATTGAGGCAGAAGCGTTAGCCACAATATCAGCCAACAAGGTTCGCCGATTCTTCTACCGACAGATCATCAGTCGATTCGGTGTTCCGCACACCATTATAACATATAATGGCACACAATTCGTGGACAGAAAATTCAATCAGGTCCTTCAGGATTTGCATGTTAAACACCGATATACGTCGGTTGAACATCCACAAATGAACGGATTGGCAGAATCTGCGAATCGAGTTCTCAAACGCGGTTTGGAAAGAAGATTAGAAGCAGCAAAAGGGGAGTGGCCTGAACAGTTAGACTTTGTGCTATGGGGATACAGAACAACCAAACACTCAACCACTGGTGAAACCCCATTCCGCATGGTCTACGGTTCTGAGGCTATGATCCTAGTTGAAATTGGGGAACCATCATGGAGAAAGATGTACACAGACTCAGACAACAATTCGCAGGCATTACTTCATAATTTAGACACGGTATAGGAAATGTGTGAGATCACGCATGTCAAGGAAGAAGCACTCAAACAGAGGATTACAGCGCGCTACAACTTAAAGGTTGTCAAACGAGGCTTCAACGTGGGCGACTTAGTCCTACGCAGGGCGGACATTGGCAATAAGAACGCGCGACAGGGCAAACTGGCTGCAAACTGGGAAGGACCTTATCGCATCTACAGCAAAACTGATAAGGGGGCATATGTCGTTGAGACACTATCTGGCCTTACTATCCCACGCAAATGGAACACAGACAAGCTTAAGACATTTTATAGCTAAGTCTCTCACGACTCACACACTGTTATCTTTGAGCTTTTGTCTTTCATTATTATTATGTCAAATAAAATGAACCAGATTTCCTTTACTATTGATCAATCTCTGCATTAAGTTTCCAAATCACAGGATCACAAACGTTCCTGTCATACAGGGTTCTCTCACGAATCCTCCAATTTACAAGAAACCTCTCACGGTTCCTATCAACTTACAGGGTTCTCTCACGAATCCTCCAATTTACAGGAAACCTCCCACGGTTCCTATCAACTTACAGGGTTCTCTCACGTATCCTCCAATTTACAGGAAACCTCTCACGGTTCCTATCAACTTACAGGGTTCTCTCACGAATCCTCCAATTTACAGGAAACCTCTCCCGGTTCCTATCAAATTACAGGGTTCTCTCATGAATCCTCCAATTTACAGGAAACCTCTCATGGTTCCTATCAAATCACAGGGTTCTCACACGAATCCTCCAATTAACGGGATACCTCTCACGGTTCCTAACAACTTATAGGGTTCTCTCACGAATCCTCCAATTTATAGGACACCTCTCATGGTTCCTATCAAATTACAGGGTTCTCTCACGAATCCTCCAATTTACAAGACACATCTCGTGGTTCCTATCAAATTACAAGGTTCTCTCACGAATCCTCCAATTTACAAGACACCTCTCCTGGTTCCTATCAAATTACAGGATTCTCTCACGAATCCTCCAATCAACAGACTTGTCAACAAAGATCTCCTCAATAGATCACAAGCATACAGGTCGCGATCCCCAAGGATGTATCGTGATCTTTCACGCTCAAACGCGATGGCATAACCAAAGGTATGCAAAAAATAAAAATATTTTACAATAAACTGTTTAGACATACAACATGCAGATATAGTGTTTAAGCGCCATATGGCGTACACACCACAACTCCAACATGAAAATCATACAATCGCGACGCTATGCAGACATGGTGTTCAAGCGCCATACGGCGTACACACCAGAGCGCGGCCTCGTTCACTTTACAGGACTCTATACTTAAAGGATTCCTTTGTAACAAAGCACGAAATGCATATGATCGCGGCGCAACATACAAATAGAATAGACTTCAGCTGCGTTACAAAGAAGGTGAAGAGCAATATGAAGAAGGATGAGAAGGGTAATACCCTATTACAAAGAATGCAAATTTTCAACCGATTAACAACAATCTACAAAAAGAGAGCAATGCAAGCATTCGTTCAACAACAGATATATATTTAGCAAAATAACCTCAAACGTCATAAACTTCAAAATTTGCGGAAACAATGTCCGCATCATTGTTATGGGGATACCCCCTTACACATACTACAAATAAAAAGAAGCAGAAGATATATAAAGGACATCAGCATATCAGCGATAAACTTCAAATGGTCTGGATTGACATGTTTTGAGGAGTGTCAGCAGCGCGCTCATCATTAACAGCAGGAGGATCTTGAGGCAACGGCACTTGCAAGGATAGCGCAGTCATGTCTGTATCCATCGCGCTAATCAGCTCCACTGGGACCTCTTGATTTTGCTCATTCAGGGTCACCAGCTGGCCATCCTTGAAGTAATGGTAGAAGTGGACATTCTCCAGTTTGGCTGAGGGGTTGAAGAAACGCACTTGTTCGATCACGTTAACGAAGGTACCCTCCGCCTCCTTCTCGAACAACTCCTGATACCTCTTAACCTCAGCGGTCAAGTGGGCCTTTTCATCAGCCCAGGTATCAGCGTTCCCTTCAAGCTCCAGTATGCGCTTCTCCAGATCAATCTTCTTTGCCCCCAGGCTTCTGTTGGCAGTCGTCAGCTTCTTTATCTCAGCATCCTTCTTCTCCATCTCAACCGTCAGCAGGGCAACCTTGTCCTCAAATGTCTTCAATTCGGCTTCAGAAGCAGCGCGCTGTTGGGCATTTTCTGCTTTTAACTCCTCGATACGTTCCTTCAGGACGTCTACTGAATCTGTTACATATCAAACAACAGGTTATACATGCAACCACAATATTATAGCATACAAGCAAGCAACATGGAAAGCCAAACATACTTACCAGGTGCGGTCATGATAAATTTGCCAGCCGCGATCAGACCCTGGGCAAGCTGCCGCCATTGATCCCGTGGCAGAGTTTCCAGGTGCATGCCAAACTCCCTACCCTGAGCCCGCAGGTCATTCACGGCTCTCCAGTCAAAATTTGGCCACCCTACAGCTGGCCCCTCGAACATCGCTTCAAAGGTTCTTTTTCTTCCTCTCGCAATGTCCTCCCCCACTACTATTGGCGGGATAACTTCTCGAGGAGGGGAAGGAGGGGTGCGCAATCTCAAAGGAGATTTCAACTGTACAGCGGCGTGACCACTTAACTCAGCAGCAGCAGTTTTGATTGGTTGAGAGGAGGAGGAAGAGCCAGCAAGAGCTGCGCGGTTGGCAGCAATTTGCTCCATTCTGCTCACTGGCGCCATCCTTATACTTTCTGCACAATAGAAACAAATGGATGGTCAGGCATACTTAGTTAATACATACAGGAAACGTTACATAAACACTCAAGACAGATCAGAACACGAAGGAAATTACCCAGGTAAGCTCGCACATCATTTTCAGTATACTCATTCAAAATAGTATACGTATCCAGAAAGCCTTCCCCAGCAGTTGCACGAGTGATCTTACCTAAAGCAGTCACCGTCTGCTGCTTTAGATCACTCAGATCCGTAAAATTATAACTTAACACGGAACTTTCTGTCGGGTATTGTGACCAATACAAAGGGAAGATAGGAGCCTGGTCCTCACCTATGAAAAACGACGTAGTACCTTCGGCGGGATAGATCTTGAAATACTCCGCGGTCTACTTATTAATCTTTCTACAGTATGACCCGCAGAACTTTAGTTTACCCCTAAAAGAAATCCAGCTGTTGCGAGGAGGCATTACACTAAACATGTACAAAAAAGACTGCACAGACTGAAAAAGGCCATAAGCCTTACGCACCATCTCATATACTCTAATAAAGCCCCAGGCATTGGGGGTCAGTTGTGAGGGCGCCACATTCAAATGCGCCAACAATTTACAGACGAAAGAAGAAAAAGGAAGACGGACACCTATGGACAAGAAAAAGTAAGAGTACATCATCATATAACGCCTGGTTGACCCCTCGACCCGCGATGAACAAACACGCTCATTCTTCGGGACGACTCCAACTTCCCATTGATCGTCAAAAGCTTTATCCGGGGTCAGATGCAAGGTCGCGGTTACCTCCGCCAACTCTCCAAGAGAAGAATATATCGACTCAGTCTTCAAAACTGAGTCTGACACCCACTCGAGGGTATCAACATCCCGGATGCTTTTCCTGTTCAGGGACCGCGTCTCTGACGGTTCTGCCTCAGGGTTAATTTGTACGGTTTTCTTCTTCCCACCAGGCCGTGATGTGACGATCTTCTTATCGCGGGCATTACGTTTCTCCATTATCTCCTTGATACGAGCGGACACAAAATCTGATTCAGAAGAAGAAGAATCAGTGGAAGAAGACAAATCAGTGGACATAGGTTTATAATTATCAAAATTCCTTTTCTTAAAAGGATATCCAGCTGGATAAACCACATTCAACGACAAAGGACTGGGACTCTTCGGTCCTGAAGACTCATGTGCGATGGAGCAAGAAGAATCGCGCGATGAACTCGAGAAAGGCGATTTGGGACTTTTTGACTCTGCCGATTTATAGCTACTATCTGAATTAACTGAAGAATAACTCGATAGCACAATGAGCTTGGACATATTTCTAGGAAAACGAGGAAACACAGACGAACTATGGGCTGACAATGCCTTCTCGCAAGGAGGTTGTCGCGAGGTTGACCCTAACTCGAAGGTACGACTTAAGGGCACATGCCTAGCACAGGCTTTGGTACAGGGAGCTAGAAGTCCTACAGCAGGCCTTATGTCCCTGGTTCCCAAGGACTTTGATCTGGGTAACAACCTCAACGGAGGACTAGATGAACCAGACCGTTCAAGGAATCTGATAAAATCTGCACCGTTGTACTTCTCCGGCATACCCCAGAAAGGCAGACCCAAAATGAAGAACTAAAACACAGATGCAACAGATGATAAGAAGAAAAACACATACCGGAGATTTATACTTTCGAACTTCGCAGCTACGAGCAGGACGTGTCACCACCGGAAATGCAGAATAGAGCTCTGAGAGACGAAGCAAGCTTTCCACTACAAATGACCAAATGATCTTCCCTCCAAAAGAAAAGGCACAAATACGAAGAGTTTTTTCTCCAACGGATACTCCAAAAGCCATGAAACGTGTTAAACACAAACACCGGTTAGTGGGACACGTGGCAGGAAAGGAAGCGTTTTACTCGTAAAACACCCACGAGTGTCCTTAAACCCCCACGTAATCACTGCTGCATTTAATGCTCCTGATTGATTAGACAGCTAATCCACCATTCTTAAGTGGTCGAAGGTCATGATGACACTACAAAGCATCATTACCGCGGACAAACAACGGCATGTGACTCAAAACACTACCGCGCCTCATACACAAAGACATATAGCTCACGGCCTTGTCACATAGACAACACCGCAAGCTAGGGGCATCTGATCCGGATATAATATAGGCCTAACCAGGGCCCAATAAACACATGGAAGCCCAAGCCCATAAAGGACCTGGAACAAGGCATAAAAGACAGGCACGGGACGCGATAACCCTATCGCGTCACACCAGCGCGATGTCCATATCGCGGAACACCAGGCGCGATAGTCCCATCGCGTCATACACGGCGCAGTGCCTCATCACAACATCCAGGATATACTTACTCCCCATGCCACGGGATACCTTCTACAGATAGTAAACTTAAGGGCCAAGGCAACACCACCGCGCCCTCACACCAGTAAGCAATGGACAGCTCCGGCTCGTCACAACTCTACTAGTAGACACCATGGCGGCAAGCTCCTCAACATTTAAACCATGACAGCCACACTACGTTGGCACCAAGGAACCTTTGCCTTCACCATGAAGAAAGGTCTCCTCCAAACACACATCTCGATTACTATATAAACATACGTTGTGCCACCAAGGTACGCTCATCCTTTACTTTCACAACATAAACACCTGCTTCTGATACTGACTTGAGCGTCGGAGTGTCTTTGCAGGTACCCCCCCCAATCTGGTGCTACGTGAAGGACGAAGGACAAAGAGCTCAGGCTCATCCCACATCAACAGTACCAGGCCCAGGCCAGTAACCATCTAAGGAGTCTCAACCGTGTGTGATTTGGACTTGATACGCATTGGGTCATCCCTACCGTATCTGGTCCGATCAATATCAATTTGAGATTTATAAGAATAAAACGAGCACATTTTGTGTGTAACGATAATAGGTACTCCCTTATCAAAATGTGATATAAGGGAAAATAATCATGATAAAAATATGTAAATGAATTATTTTTATTCATGCATTGAGGGCTCAATACACTAATAACACTAAAAATATTTTCCTAAAATATAGGTTATAATGTCACTTGAAA